GGGGGGGGGTTTCTGGCTGCTGTTCAAAGCGTCTTTGAGCCAAAACGGTCATTTGCACCGCAAGACATTCCTGTGCAGGAGAAACTGCATCTTGCGAATGTGAGCACGCCGCAGACAAAGGGGTGACCTGATGCAAAGCATTCCTATACAGTTCAAACCACGACATGCGGGAATCCTCCTGCATCAGCAGGACGAATAATATTGACTGTGAAACACGTTCTCAGAAGCACCGAATGCTGGGATCAATATTTTCAGTGCTTGCATATTTCTCCACTATATAACAGGAGAAGACAAGTACATACCAAAATGCCATTTCTCTTGACATTTAAAATGCGTACAAAGAAATGAATAGCATGTTAGGAATGGAATCCCAAACACTAATGTGTCATTGTGCATATATTATACAGCCAGGCTAATAAGCTCTAAACAGCTCATGAGAGTGCCATCTATTGCTCTCCATAAATAAGCATGTAAAGCTCTTGAGGATATACTATGTTGGTCCGTAGGCTTTAAGAGTGTGCATTATCAACACGGCACTGCGTAAATGGGACAAAGGAACCTTCTAATGAAGTTTCCTCATGTCGTCTAGCATACAGCAAAAATTCCATTCCATTTTCACAGGCTAACGTGGAAATCACGACCCACTAGACAAGAACAGCACAAAGGATTTTAAGAGGCTTTGCTCGTATAAAACTGTGCTTGCATAAAAAGCAATGACAATAATTAGTTTTGAACAAATAAAATCAAATGTAAACATGACATTTCATTTAACAACCAACTTATTAAACTAACCTATTTATGACTGTGTTACTCTAAGATAAGCAAGTGTGCTGGCTCGTATAAGGCTCTTGTATAATTATGAGCAGCTTGGGAAACAGAACAAATAATTAGGTCTGGACAATTAGTTAAGAACCTTTCACGTCTTCATTAACACTCAGTATATTTAGTGTCTGTCACAGACACTAGTTCACAAAGCTCAAACAGTAAGCGAAAGCTTAACCAGGTTTGACAGTAAGCAAAAGCAAAAGCAAATTCTCCCTGCTTATGCAAATAAATGCATTTTTTTAAATAAACATAGGGTATCGTTCTCACTTCCTTTAACATAAAGCCTCTTTTAATACAGCACATTTGAGCTTACATGCAATTTTATAGATCTAGTACATGGTCAAAGATTGTGTAAGTGTATGCAAAGTTTGCACATTTGTATCGAGCCTTTAAAGAGAAAGACCTTGCAGAAATGTTCAAAGATATGCCAACTGCACTTATTGTTGTACAGCCTTTTTATCTGTATTCCCAAATTTAAATAGTCTGCAAAAGAGTAAATCAGTCTGTCAAGCTTTTACTTGGAGATGCATGAAAAATGCACATTATATAACTGCATTGAGGGAGGGTGGCGTTGCCCTATTTTCTCCCCAGTTGTGACCTGGGAGAGAAGGAGGGGGGCGGAGGGGTTGGTGTCTGGCGCGCACGTGGCTGAAGAGGGCGGAGTTTCAGCACGCGGTATTTGGTGTGGGTGTGGCTTTACTGACACGTCACCTCGAGAATGAAACAAAAAGCCCCACGCTCTGTTTAAAGCGAAATATAAATCGCCAGTAAAATCTTACAATGTCAGTTTTATGGAATTTCTGCGTATTGAAGGTGCGAAAACCAACAACAACAAAAAAGAGATTAAGCAGCTAATAACGAAGACGTTGTGATGGGAAATCACAGTGTCTTGAAAGTCATGAGTGAGATAACCACTCAGCAATGTCATTATGTAGAAAAAACCCCCCCTTTGGTTTATTGCCACCGCCCAACGGATAAGAAACACGACGTTCGCTACTTTCAGTTAACGCGTTTATAAATTAACTGGTCGGTAAAAATGGTTGTTATAATTTTAAGAATTCTACCCAGCCAACATAAGTGCATAAACGTGTAACTTTATGCGTCTGACAAAAATACGACATGCCATGCACTAGGATCTGTCGGGGTAAATGTACCCACCCACCGCAGAGCTATCGAGCCAGTATAGTAGCACACTAAATATAGCATGGATTTAACCCGGAAACCGAGTGAGCGAAATATGCCCTAGTCACGAAGACTGCACCCTACAAACAGTGCAAACCACTGGACATTACTACTAAGACAAAGAGCTATTTTTCGCAATGCTTAAAATAAAAAGCTGATTTACATTTTTTTTTCCTTTTTAAAGAAATCAAACTGTAGCTATTTATCTTGAAGTGTGCCGGCATGGAAATGCAATTTGCTTGGTAAAATCCCAGTTAGTTCATACATATCTAATTTATCCCATAGATCTATGCAATCACCCAGTTCCCCCCGCCTTACCACGTGCAATCTGTTGTTGCTGGGCTTGCCACTCCAAATACCTGGCCGCTTCCAATAGAGTATCGATACTCATTTTGAACACCGATACAATACGTTCCCGTTAAAAATGTATGCAAGCCCCCGGTACAGATATATGTGGTGGGTTAAATCACAATATAATCCACTGGCTTCCAAAGACAGTCATAAGACATCCAGGGCGCTCCCGAAATTCATCAGAAACACATTACTTCACTGGCAACAAGATGGCGATTGGAGTAACAGAAAACACAACAAGTCGAAAGGCATACCGCTCAAGGTCCGCCCTCGCCGGAGCGACTCCTCCCTCATACTACCAGTGATTCAAAAGTAGGGCAGAACACGCTGTCACGCTAAGCGGTAGGATCGGGACTCTAAACCGAATGTAAGCTCATAAATGAGATTGAAATGTTTATATAAATGATCAAGACTTAATGGTGAGATTTATATGACACAATAGAATCTGTGTAAACTTGTTTCCGGTCGCTTATTAGAGCATGAAAGGAGGAAATAGTGCGAAACGTCAACGGTGTCCATGTTCCGGGTTTTCGCTGTAGCCCTACCCTGCAGTACATTAGCACATGATTAAAACATGTCGATGAGAGGGAACCAATGGGCGTGGAGAACAACAAGGCATGGTGTCTGTCCACATGGGCAGCCGCTAAAGGCTGAGCGCGGCTCATTTGCATGGCGAGACCGTGTATGGCAAGCCGTTTTACATGTAATCAACTACCTATTTTTGTTGCTAGGACTTGTTTAATTGCCAGGAAGTAAAACTAGTATTTGAAATTTCACTGTCATATGATGCTGCTAAAAAGAACATTATTTTGTGTATTTGGTGTAATGAAATGTGTTCACGCGGTTTAAGGTTCAAAAAACACATTATTTTCCACATACTGTACATTATTGTTTCTCCTCTACGCCCCGCCTTTCTGAAACGCATCGATTTTTACAAAGCTCATCGGTCTGAAAAAGCAAGGTGTGCTGTGATTGGCCGAATACCTCAAGCGTGTGACGGAAATGTTACGCCCCTACCAGATTGTGATGATGGCCTGTCAGGCCGGAGCGATGATTCAAAAACATGAAAACCCATTATAAACAAGGCATTCGTTGCATCCAGTGGGGACATAATTATGGATTATAATGACTTATACTGTCTTTTTACACGTTGCGTTGCGCCGCGCAAACATAAAACCATGTCCGCATTTGTGATCGGCGGGCGGGCTTGCGGCAACCACATGTGACGACCCCGGGCTGGACTCCGCTTTGTCCACAGTGAAAGCCGATCCAGTGATCCACAGCGCAAAGGTGTAGTATTTCCTCAGCAACCCGCACGGATCAGCTCCCGGCATGACGAAGCGGATATCGTCCTCTTTTGGAAGACCAAACAAAGTAGTTTCGCTTTCACGATGAAACACACAGCGCCTTCACGACATGGTGGCAGCGGCAAGAACAATACTACAGCGAGAATAAAAGTTACGCCTTCTTTCTTTGCGTGAACATTTGGGCGACGTTATGCAAATCTTCCCACATAGTGACGTAGATATGTGGGGGCGTGTTAGAACGAGCCGTTTTAGGTAGGCGTGGCTGACTCTTAACTTTTATAAAGAATATCTCTTTGGATTTGAGAATTTAGTCTTTGCAACTTTACAGATCTTCTTTATGCACCAAGAGCTTGTAACACTCCAAAGAGAAAGGAAAAATTGAAATCGCATCATATGACCCCTTGAAGTTAACTATACTCCTTTACTAGCAGTCACTATCTCATTGTTAATTGTAACAAAATGCTTCAGATATCAACCATTCTGACTAGTATGTAGTTCAATTGACCATTCACAAAGAGCTTGACTGACAGACTATCTGACCAATCATAGCACTGAATCCGCCATCTTGTCTGACAGCTACGGCCGGAAACTAACAATAAATTAAATTTCCTACCTATAAGATTGTGTTTTATTTACATCTACACCTATCCCAACCCTAAACAATAATGCAAAAACAGTAATTATTATTATACAGTGTGACAAATAATATGCTATATTGATGTGTGCATGCCGAGGAACCGCAGCTGTATCCCAACCACAAATCTGACAGGAGAGTAGATTAACTTGTGGACTTAAACTTGAAAAATTCCGCTGTTGAAATAAAATACATTCTGATGTTCATTCATGTTCATTTTGTGCTTTAAGTAAATAAGAAAAGATGATCGGTTCACGTGCTGCTTTAACTGAGGCAATACAGTGATCTGTCATTAAAGAGCCACAAAACGGTATTTATTATTTGAAAGCTGAGAGTCCTGAGACCTTGTCTCATACCAGAAGTAACCTGCTTTGTCTTGTCTGTCGGTGTGTTGTCAGTTTCCTCTTTGCTCTGCAATGTATTTTTCACTCTATGCGGCATTGTTTGTCGGAGATAGCAATGGTAACTAAGGAGGGCAGGTCTTTGCGAACGGTCAATTGACCCTTCGCAGGGAGTTTGATTGACATCATAACGCCAAATCTGCCATTTTGTCTGACAAATAAACCAGACTGGAAAGCATAACGTAGGTGGACTTGAAATTTAAAAATGGTGTGCATTGACATCTTTCTGCGGTTGAAACAAGATACCTCCTGATGTTTATTCATGTTTATTTTGTGCTATAACTAGTAGCGTTGGGCCAATAGACAATGCCTTCATCCATCGCCGATGGTACTACGAAATAAATACGAGATGGGAGGAAAATATATATTTCAATACTTTCTCTCAGAGTTATATTGTTGGGTAATTATACTGTATAGTGTATGATCGCTTTTTACTTTAACTTTTGAGATTCGCGATCACACGTACTCTGTGTGTACTACAGAGCGGCAGTACTTACCACACATTTTACACGATTAGATGCTTGTCAGTGGTGCTCAGGATCTGCAAATTATTCACCGTCATCCTATCAGTCATCTCTCCTTACTCTGTTTATGTGGTAA